TCGCCACGCCCATCAGGGCTAATGGTAGTGCTGGCCGTCTGTCATGTGGTGGACAGACTCACGATTGTTTTTCCTTTGAACTCGTCACCCTGCTTGAGCAGAGCATTGCAAGACACGACTCTCAGGCCATGTTTCTAGCCGCGACCTGGCTTGAAACCCTGTTCGAACATTTTGAGGTTGATTTGTCCACTGCTGGCGATAGCGGTGGAGAGACCCGGAGTGTGCTCAGCCTTGCTGCCTCCCTGCCCACTCACGTTTCGCATGACGTTTCCCAGGTTTCGCTTGAGGCCCCCTTCTCCAGCAGCCAGGTTGCTGCATTGTTAGGAGGTTCCTGGCAGCCGCCATATGAGCTGCCCTCTACTGTAGCTTGGCATCCTGCTACTAGGATTGCTCTTCAGGAACATGTTGCATACGCCACAGGTCTTGCAGCCGGGGTTGAGTCTATTGAGGTCTTCACAGACGGTTCTTTTGACGGTCGTACCAGTTCTTGGGCCTTCGCCGCTATCGCCCAGTCTCGTGCTGGTCGTTTTGTGCTCGCTTGGGCGCGTGGCTCTGTTCAGCTTCAAGGACTTCCTTGGTACGTCGGCGCCACCGAACACTCTGCCCTCAACGGAGAACGCAGTGCCCTTTTCTGGGCGGTAGGTTGGCTTCTTGGAGTTGACAGATCCATTTCGCGTTCATTGCATAGCGATTGTCTGGTTGCTGCACGGCAGACCAGCGGAGATTGGGGTTCGCAGGATCACACTGCGCTTGCTGTTGCTTGCCGCTCCCTTGCACAAGCCCTTGAAGCTGCTGGAGGCCTTGTTGTCGATGCCATCTGCCATGTTAAAGGACATCAGGGGCATCCGTACAATGAGCTTGTCGATGTCTTGGCTGGGGCACAGCACCTTGCCGACACGACTATTGCCACGCATCTCTCTCCGCTTTGTGAGTGGGCTGAGCAGGGACACCTCCCGTGGCTTTGGCTTTCCATCTCTGCACTTTGCGCTCCGAATAGGTGGCCCACTCTATGTGGTCGCGCTTTTACCGATCCTTGTGGCCAATGCCCTGTCGATAAAGAGGCTCTCCTTGCCTCTGACTACTTTGGTTGTCAGCTTGGCTCCAGCACTGTCCATGAACAGAGCCATGCGACTTTCTCCCTTTGCCTTTCGCTTGTTTCCGTCAATGTTCAATCGCTGTGTGAGGACGAGGCTTCAGCCTTACCCAACCGCGTTCCTTTCATTCGAGAACAGCTTGACAATCTTGGTTGTACTGTTGCTGGCTTACAGGAGACGAGGGCCAAGGCTACTGCCACCATAGTATCCGGCAGCCACATTCGTTTTCTTTCCTCGCGGGATTCTAAGGGCTGCTTAGGCGTCGAGCTATGGTTCTCTAAGACCCACCCTTTCGGTTGGCAGGATCGTACTCCCGTAAAATTTGAAGTTGGCGACTTCAGGGTCCTCCATTGGAGCCCGCGCGTCCTCATTGTGCGTTTTACACGAGGCACCCTGCGACTTCTTTTCGTTACTTGCCATGCCCCTACGGCACAACATCAGGAGCGGGCGTCATGGTGGAAAGCTTTTGCTGACCTCGTCACCTCTACTGCCAATGGAGACAAGGTCATTCTCCTCGGCGATCTTAATGCCAGACTGTGCGAGGCAGCGCCACCACGCATAGGCAGTCTTGTTTGGGAAGCTGAGCATGCTCCACCGGGACAGTTCTTTCGGCTCATTGACCACCTTGACCTTTGGGTGCCGTCGACTTTCATTGATTGCCATAGCGGACATAGTCATACTTGGACTGCCCCAGGCGGATCATCTGTCTCACGCATCGATTTCGTACTTATACCTTCTGCCTGGCACGTCGTGTTTGGTGCATCACGGGTTCTGTATGAAATCGATTTTGGCCAAGCTGGGCTCGATCATTTCGCCGTGCAGCTGCTTGTTCAGGTCGAGTTGCTTGAACGCTTGACCTTTACGCCGCCACGGCGCACTTTTGATGTTGCTAGGGCATCCCAGCCCGAATCACTTGCCGATGTGAGGGCTATCTGTGCCAGTATCCCTCATGTTTCTTGGTCTGTTGGAGTTCATGAACACTACCATATCGTTGCCAAGCATGTGCTCAGCTCCCTCGCCAAGAAATTCCCAGTCCAGCGTTCACACAGACGCCGAACGTTCTTTTCTGAGACAACATGGGCTCTTAGACAACAAAGAGTGTGGTTGCGACGCAGGGCGCATCTTGCCAGTGGGGATCTCAATTCTTGGGATCTTCGGCGTGCCTTCAATGCCCTACTATGGAGATGTACTCTTAGCAGGGCCGGAGTTGCAGGGCTTGCTGATACCCTGCGCAATATTTGCACCCTCCATAGCGCTGTTGTTGAACTTCGCAGGATACGTCCTTTCTTCCGACGTTCTTTGCACAGCGATAAACAGAGTCACATCTCTACTGTCGCTGCTGCCGCAGCTACTTCTTCTACACGTGAGGTTGTTCAAAGGCTGAGGCCCCTCCTTGGGCCTCCTCGGCGAAAACAGAGGGGTGTCACTCCCCTCCCCGCTCTCCGCCTCGAGGATGGTTCGCTCGCTTCCACTCCTGCTGAGGCTGAAGCCAGATGGCTCAGGCACTTCAGCTCTGTTGAACAAGGCGGGCCTATTTCTCCTGAGACGCTCGTTGACAGGTGTCTTTCCAGGCAACTTGGACAGGATCTCGACATGCTTGACGTATGTCGACGTGACCTCCCCACCAGATATGAGCTCGAGAGGGCCCTACGGGCTTCGAAACCTGGCCGAGCTGCCGGCAACGATGGGATGCCCCCGGATGTCCTGCACTCCTGCGCTAGTCAGCTCTCTGACGCGATCTACCCGATCCTTCTCAAAATCGCGTTTCGCCTACAAGAGCCGATTCAATTCAAGGGAGGCACTGTGCGTCAGATTTACAAGCAGAAAGGCGATCTTGCCGAGTGTGCCAGCTACAGGGGCATTCTCATTTCGAGTACCATCGGCAAGAGCATTCATGCTGCTTTTCGCCGTAAGTGCGGGGCCTGGCTGGACTCAGCGGCTTCCCCCCTTCAGGTTGGTGGCCGACGGGGCTTCCCCGTTCAGCTTGCTGCACAGGCAGCACGGGATTTTCAGGCTGGCCACCTTAAGCGCGGCAGGAGCACCGCCTTAGTGTTCCTGGACTTGCGCGAGGCTTTCCACCGAGTTGCTCGTCCTCTTGTTCACGGTGGTGACCTTAGTGATGAGCACCTCGCCAGTGTCATCAGCTCCTTTGGTCTACCTCATGACCACCTTCATCGGCTGCGCGACTATGTCCAGGCGGAGTCCTTGCTTGTTTCAGCTGGTGCCTCGGATTGGGCCGCTGCAGTTGTCAAGGAATTCCAGACCGACTCGTGGCTTACGATCGGTGAGGGCTTAGCCGTTGTCGAATCCGGGACACGGCCCGGCGACGCGCTCGCCGATGTAGTATTTGCCTTCCTTTTCTCTTCAGTCCTGCAAAAGGTTAGGCAAGCCATCTTCGCCGCAGGATACGAGGTTGCTCTTCCTTGGGCTGACTCTTGGTTCCGTCAGCTTTCGACGCTTGGATGCTCCGATGGCACTCTTGCACCCATCGACGTAGCATGGATGGACGACCTAGTCATCCTTCTCTCTTCGTCCACTCCGGAGGGCGCACTAGCTGCCACCAAGGGTGCTGCAACAGCTCTCATTGATGAGTGCCTTAAGGCATTGCTTCACCCCAACCTTGATCCAGGCAAGTCTGAAGCCTTACTTACCCTTGTTGGTAAGGGCTCACGGCGTCTTCGGTCTGAGCTCTTTCGGGTCGATGTGCCTACTGTTGAGCTTCCTTCTGCTCTGTGGCCCGGAGCACGCCTCAGAGTGACACCTAAGTATAAGCATTTAGGAGGCTTGCTGCACTGGTCAGGTTCACTCGATCCCGAGCTTAAAGTTCGCTCCGCTCAGGCATGGCAGGCTTTTCGTAAGCACAGGCGGCTGATTTTCAATTCGCCTTCTGTTACGCACAGGGAGAAGGCTTTGCTTTTTCAGTCACTTGTGCTTTCGCGTTTGCTTTATGGAGCTGGGACCTGGTCTTACCAGGATGACACTATTGAGCAGCGCATTCAGGGGGTCTTGCTTGCCATGGCACGACACATGTTGCGTCCTTCGTACAGCTTTGAGGCTTCTTGCCACCTAGGTGCTGGCCAGGTTCTGGCTGTTGCTAGAGTTCCATCTGCAAAGGTTCTTCTGCACGTCGAGCGCTTGCGACACCTTGCTGTTGTCACTCGTGTCGCGCCTGCTGAATTTTGGGCTATATTGCACCATGACTCTACTTGGTGCGGTCTTGCGCTTGAGTCGCTGTCTTGGTTCTCTCGTTGTCTTGCACTTGCCGGCACCCCGCAGGTTCGACTTTCTGAGTGGTCTTCTGCGCGTGATGTTATCGTCAAGTCGCCTGCTCTCTGGAGAAGATGGCTTCGCAAAGCACAACAGACAGCATTGCTTGCTGAGCTCTGGGAGTCTGAGGTGCATCACTATCATGGGTTGCTCTTACGATACCTGCTCTCCCATGGGGCACAGGTTGGAGAGGAGGTGCATGCTCCGGAGGCCATAGGTGAGGTTTGTGCTGTTTGCCAGCAAAGGTTCCCGAACCTGCGTTGTTGGAGCCATCATGCCTTTAAGCGCCACGGCCGCGTGAGGGAGGCGCGACTTTATGCACAAGGTACTCAGTGCCAAATTTGCCTCAAGCATTTTGCATCCACGTTCCATCTGAGCAACCACCTTGAATATTCGCAACAATGTCTGGCACAACTTTCGTCTGTCGCACAGGTTGAGGTGCCAATACCTGGTCGAGGTAGTAGGAAGTTCCGCTCTGGCAAGGACGTCATGCTCCCGGCTGTCACTGCCAGCGGACCCGTGCTGCCTCAGGTTCCTGTTGATTTCATTCCTGAAGTTGACAGGGCCGATGACAGTGTTTTGAGCTCCCTAGAGGATCTCTTCTGTTGCGAGGATCAGTGCTATTCTTATGATACCCTGTTACAGGCTGTTAGAGCAGTCTTTGCGGGAGTGTGCCTGCAGGTCTCCCGACTCAAAGCCACCGCTCGTGAGTGGCGCCGCCGACTCACTTCCGAGCTTCAGGACAATGAGGATGTCTCGATCAATTGGTCCACCTGGCACCGTAGGATTGCCGACTGGATCTGTGACGTTGACTTCGTCGAATGGCTTGTTCCCTGTGCAATTGACACAACCAAAGCGCATGCCACTTTCCGTGATGGCACCGTGCTTTTACCTTGGCTGTCTTTTCAGGCCTTGTGTGTCTCCCCCGTCGGACTGCACGAGGGTCTTCGCCTTCGGGTCATCTCCGGTACTCGTCGGCTCCTGGGTGGCCGACTTATCCAGCCTGTTGTCTGGCTTTGCCATGAGCAGTGTTCCCGGCAGCCCTTGCTTCTTAACTTCGGTGACTGGATCAGGTCCCGTTCTGATTGGGTCTGTGGGTTTTGCCTGGCTGGGTTGCTTTCGACCACCGCTCTTCCGTCCCCCGTTCGGCACTTCAAGTCACTTGAACGGAGTCTCCATCGCCTTCGACTTTTCGCTGACCTTGTGCGTGGAGTCCTCCATCTCTGGCTTAATGAAGTTCCAGCATTCCTCGTCGCCGCCCCTTCTGACTGTCCTGGACTTGCAGCTGTTAGGAGGGTCGCTCCTTTCTGTGTACAGTTAGGCGACTGTGAGGTGCTCTCCAACTTCGCCGACCCGGGGGCTTTTGCTGCTCGTTTCACCTTTTAATTACTGCATGCCTAGGCTACGTCCGAATCGGACTTCGTGCCACTGAAAGTGAAAAAAGTGAATATATATATATATATATATATTTGTATATTACAGCCTGGCCGCCGTACTTGCTGCAGATGCTGGTGCGCTGGCAGCCGGACGTCTGCTTTCCCAGACCTCACTGATGCACTCTTGGACACAACAATAGCTGTAAATGTCCTGACCTGTTGATACCAATTCTCCAAAAAAGATGTAAGGTCTTGGAGGTTCGAAGGGGTAATGCAGGGGCCTTGATAATTAGAATTCTCTGTTGGGGGTTCCCGATTCTAATTATAACATAATGGGCCCCCAAAACCCTATTCTAATTATTAAGGCCCCTATATGACTCGTGTCCCTGAACTCCAGAACCCCAAGAGCTTGAACTCGAAACATCCCTGGTAGCGAGGGTTTAGGGTTTAGGGTTTAGGGTCTAGGTTTTAGGGAAAGCAGCTCAAAACTCTACTGAGTCCTCTCTCACAGCCCAAGGCTCGTTTTGGGTCGCCGGGTCCGCCTTCATTCAGGAAGTTTTGATCGAAACAGCCGCCTACCGCTTTGGGGGCTTAAGGTTTGATTGGGCTCCTTTAAGGCTGTCGCTGTTTAGGATCGGATCAAGGCCTTCCTGAAAGGGCTCGGAAGGAAAGTATGGTTGGAAGTAGCTTCCCTCTCCTTCCCACGACCCCTCATCCGTTCGGCGCCGGGGGCCCAGAGCATAAGGTTCTATAAGGGTTTCGTTCTACAAGAGCTCTTTAAAGGTTCCAGAAGTGAAATATGGGTTCTATAAGGTCTCAAAGTGGAATCAGTTCTGTGAGGATTCAAAATGTTCCATACTAAGAACCAAACCCCTACAAATTCCTAAACCCTAACCACAAACCCTAAACCCTCAACCCTAAACCTAAACCCCAAACCCCAAAGCCAGAATAAAATCCGGAGCCCTAACGTCCGCTCCCATCCCAGGCGCCTCTGGCTGCACCGTTGCGTGGACATCTTCTGTAAGTGCCAGCCTTGGGTGTAGACTTCGGATTTTAGAGCTAGGGCTTTAGGGTTTGGGGTTTCAGGGTTGGGTTTTTTGGCGTCTAAGGGTTCGGCGTTTGACCCTAAACCCTAAAGGCTAAACTCTAAACCCTAAACCCCTAAACCCTAAACCCTAAACCCTAAACCCCTAAACCCTAAACCCTAAACCCGCAAGAGCCGGACGTCGAGGTTTGAGATGCTTCGAGGATCCGGCAAGTGGGAGCTGGGAGCTTCCCTGAGAAAGGCGCCTTGAATATAGGGATCTTACTAGGTTTAGGGTTTTTTGGCTTTGGGTTTAGGGTTTAGGGAGTTTTGGCTTTGGGTTTAGGGTTTAGGGTTTAGGGTTTAAGGTTTAGGGTTTCGGGCTTAGGGTTTAGGTTGGGTATTGCCCCCATACAGTAACAGTCCATAATAGGGCTACTATTAAGGGCCTAATATATCCATAACATAATTACTATCCGACTGTTACTTACCCAAGGTTTAGGGTTTAGGGCTTTGGGTTTAAGAGGTTCATAAGGTTTGGGGTTCATGATATGATTATGCTATTTGGGACCAATAACTTCGATCCCTATGAAAAAACAGGCCCTTCGGTGCAGCCCGTGCACACCGTGGAAAATAGTGCCAGAGTGCCAAAGCAGCTATTGGCCTAGTACGTAGAAGCCTGAAGAACCCCAAACCCTAAACCCTAAACCATAAACCTATTCCTTAAGGTCCTAGTGTAGAAGCTTGAAGCACGACCAAGACTAGTCCTTAAGGTTTCTGTTCTGGTTCATGTAGGGGCCTTGATACTTGGAATAGGGCTCCTTTAAAGGGTTACTATAAGGGTTCTATAAGGGTATATATATATATATATATATATATATGATCCCGGTTCTCGGTTCACCGACCCTCCCCCCCCCCTGGTATCCCCCCACCCCCCCCCACGCTCCCCAAGCCGAA